ACTTAGACGATATCCTAGTATTCTCACGAACCCTAGAGGAATATATTGAATATAATAAGATAGTACTAAGACGATTATTAGACGCTAAGGTCTATCTCAAACTATCTAAATATAAGTTCCACGTGTAGGAAACCGGATTCCTAGGATATATAATTACTAAGGAAGGGTTTAGTATAGAGGAAGAGAAGATAAGAAGTATCACCGAATAGCCTATACTACGGAACGTGAAAGAAGTTTAGTAGTTCCTAGGTCTATGCAACTATTATAGACGATCTATCGAGGGATTCGGAAAAGTTGTAGTTAACCTAAACAAGTTAACTAAGAAAGACACCTAATAGGCCTAGACACCCGAAGCAGAGAAAGTATTCAACGAGTTAAAAGAGATCTTTACGAAACGACAAATTATAAGGATATTCGATAAGGAGAAACTAATTACTATCGAAATAGATATATTAGACTATACGTTAGGAGCAAGATTACTCTAACCCGCAGATAAAGAAGGTAAGGACCTAAAGCCGGTCGCCTTCTAGTCACGAAAGATAAGCCCCGCAGAGCTTAACTACGATATCTATAACAAGGAACTATTAGTAATAGTTTCCGCGTTCAAAGTATAGAGATACTACCTAGAAGGAGCAAGATATTAAGTAATAGTAAAGTCAGACTATAAGAATCTAATATATTTCACTACGACTAAGGAACTTACAAGACGACAAGTTCGATAGGCAGAAGTCTTAGTAAGTTACGACTATAGGATCGAATATTGCAAGGGAACAGCTAACAGCTAAGTAGATACTCTAAGCAGAAGACCGGACTACTAAGAAGGAGTCGAACTAGTAGAATATATAGTATTCAAGACTAACGATAAAGGGCATTTAGTATACAACCACTAAACGCTCGCTGTAACAAGCGAAGTACAAGAATCTGAATAGGTATAATAGCTTATATAAGCAACTAAGAGTAACGAAATAATTAACAAGCTTATGAAACTAGAGAAGGAAAACCTTATCTAGATAGATAAGGGATTAGTCCTAATATATAGACTAATATATATCCTAACAACGCTACGCAGAGAAGTGATTAAACGATATCACGATAACCCTACAAGAGGATATACGGGAACAGAAAAAATAATAGAATAAATATCACGAAACTACTTTATACCTAACCTATAACGAAAGGTTATAGGATATATCTAAAGATACGAAACGTGCTAACGAAATAAGCCTATAAGGCACGCACCCTACGGAATACTACAAAAGAGCGAAACACTAACCGAACTATAGGAATAGATAATAATAGATTTTATCACTAAACTACTAAAAAGCTAAGAATAGGATATAATCCTAGTAGTAGTAGACAGACTTATAAAATATACCTACATAATCCTAACTACGGAGACGATCAGCGTAGCACAACTAGCGTAGATCTTATTAAAAGAAGTATTTTCAAAGCATAGAACACCTAGAAGAATTACGAGTGACAGAGATAAGCTCTTTATATCGAAATTCTAGTAGTCGTTAATAGATCTAACTAGAGTAGAGTATAGACTCTCTACCGCTTATTATCTATAAATAAACGGACAGATAGAGAGAGTAAATTAGATACTCGAGTAATATCTACGAATAAATATAAACTACGTTCAAGACAACTAGGTTACACTATTACCGTTAGCCTAGTTCGTATATAATAACGCGGTTAATATAATAACCGGAGAAACTCTATTTTTCGTAAATTACGGAAGAAATCTAACAATAATTAGAGAATTAATTAGAAACTATCCTATTACGGAAGAGGCCCGGTTAATAGTAAAAGAATTAAAACAGCTGCACCTATAGCTATACTAAGATATAGAGTTTATTAGCAATAGGATAGCACTCTACTACGATAAAGGCAGATTAGAGGGACCTAATCTAAAAAAGGAGGGGAAGGTTTACCTCCTAAAACGTAATATCAAAATAAAACGACTAAGTGCAAAACTCGATTACCTACGAATTAGACTATACGAAATTAAAGAAAAAATTAGCGAAGTGAATTTTCGACTGAAACTACTAGAGAGAATAAAGAAGATATATCTGACGTTCTATATATCGTTACTAGAACTAGCACCGGAGAACGCTTAATACGATAAAGAAGGAGAAGAAATCGAACTTAACGAAGAATTCGAAGTAGAAGAAATACTAGACGAGAAACGAATTAATAGAAAGCACTACTACCTCGTTAAATAGAAAGGATACGATACTAATAATAATATATAGGAGCCTATCGAGAATCTAACGGCTTGCTAACTATTAGTAGGACGGTTTTACCGGAAATAGAACCGTAACCGGGAGGCTATAAGAAAGCGTCTAGATTATCCTAAGAGAAATCGGAAGACCTAAGGACTTACGATAAACTAGGAAGGTCGGAAGTCGCTGTAAGAACCTAATAGTTCGTAGAAAGAGCAGTATTATTATATCTAGTAGCGGTACTAGACTCTACTCTACGATTATTAAGAGTAGAGGCCTCGATACGTTCCTTTTCGAGACGCTCTAGCTCTTCCTTTTCGCGACGCTCGAGCTCCTTAAGCTTAGCGATATCTTTATATTCACGAGTAATAAAATTACCTGCTCGCTTTTTTAATAAACGCTTTTGTTTTCGGAGACGAAGGAGTTTAGCTAGGATAAGCTCCTCCTCCTTATTGATTTTGCTTTACGAAGCTAGCAAGCGACGCTACTCGGCGTTACTAAACGACTCTAATAGTATTTCACACTTAACACTACGACTAGCGCGGATATAATAGGAATAGTTCTTCGAATAGTCGGAACGAATATAGACGTAGTGCAAGCGAGTATAACGAAGATAGGGAACGAGGGACTTAAAGCCCTCGTGTTTAATAAGCTAATAGAGCTTACGGTTAGTAATACCTAACGAAGATATAGTTAGGGAATATTACTAAGGGGAATAAAGGGAAGGTCGCTGACGGAGGGGACTTACGACTACTTATATCTTTCGAGGACGAAAGACTAGAAAGAGGGGGAGGTGATATTACAGACCTACCTCTAGGATACTAATTATAGACTCGCCTAAACTAATTAGTTCAGCAATAAGGCGGTCAGATAGATTCTACTAGATAATCTATCGAGATACTTAGGCTATAACACCTAAGTATAGGATCACGTAACGATCCGTTCCGTTAAACGGAACGGACCTAACCGTTAATAGGAAAGGTCCTATCGAAGGAACGGAAGGACTAGATATATAAGGACGCTTATTCACCTATATATATTTAGTTCTTCGCGTTAATTTATCCATTATTACTTACAGTTACTACGAGCTATACTTGTTACTTACAATTAGACTTAACATTCGACTATCTTTGAGAGACGTGATACCCTTACGGTATAATATAAGGATATACTCTAACTAGGAGGAACGCTTAGTAGTTATCACATAACTACTTAGTCGACTGACTAGGCGCCCTTCAACTACATACGTCTTCGGTCTACTCTACAGATCCGAGCCCGTGTAAGGCCAGAGCAGGCAACGGTACGATTGCGAGATAGATCGTCGGAGATTACGAGAGAGGTACGTTACGATAACGCACATATTACGTTAACCAGTTAGCAGCGCGTAACAAGTATTTATTAAGCTTTTACCGACTAGCTTCTAGTATCTTTAATATCTAGACTTTCTATAGAATCCTCTTTCGCTTAAGCTAGCTAATTAATTTCTCTAGATAGCCGAAAAGTATATTATATATCTTAAAGACTAGATATACTATTATATCCCGAGTCTTTAAAAGCTTAGTATTACTTGACACGGTGAGCGGGGGCCGGAAACCGCTCCTATTGCACCGCCCGTCTGCCGCCCCCGACCGCCTGCCCGACTCCGCACTCGCCCTGCCCCTTCGGGTATGGCCCCCGCACTATCGCCCCTATTCGGGTTTAGCGCCTCTCCTAGCCGCTTTTACCGCCCGCCCTATCTGCTATCCATCTATAAAACACCCCTCGCCCTCTCCTCCTCTTCGTCGACGCACTTTCTCTTCTCTTTCCCCCTTCATCCCCCCTTGACCCCTTTCTTTCTCGTCCCCCACCGCAGCCTGCGTATTGGCTTTCAGCCCGATGTACTGCCCCTTTCATTTCGCCAGAGATGCCGCGGTCTGGTCGCCCGGGAATCGAAACACCGCGGAGATGATCCATTCCTCCACCGTGTTGTGTCCTTGACACCATGTGATTGCGTCTCAATCTACCTTTGACCTCTTCCCAAACAAGTCACCGGGGATTTCACTGCAGATCTATGTCGGTTGCCTTCTGCGGCTGAGGCCTTCCCGCCGAAGGTCTCTGTTTTCCCGCTGACTTCCCAACAGGCGAAGTCTCCCGGGTTGCCTTCCTCGATACTCCGTTGCTCCGCTTCATCCGCCCCATCTGACGCCCCATCGGAGGTGAAGCCGTCGGAGGTTACATTGCACAGCCCTTGGCGTCGCAAATCTACTCTCGGCGGCTTGCTCCTAAACGTCTCGACCTCGCAGTTGTCGTCATCGTCGGCCTCTCCGGTCCATCCTCACCCAATCGATGAATCTCGACAGCATGCAACGGTGATGAGCCAATAGCGAAAATAGCGCACAGTCGCCTAGCCCAGGTCGATACCGCACCATGGGAAGAATTCCTCCATCTTTGGCCGGTCCCACCGGCGAGGTTCGTGGGAATCCAATCTCCGCGGGTGCGGAAATTTGTGCTCTCGCGAATCTGGTTGTAGCGGCATCTGTTTCCTGGGGCTGGCCTGTGAGTTTTGCGCGGTTAAGGAGGCAGTTTGCGCCTCGCGGTCTATAAAGAGACTGCAATCCCATCAAAATGGCAAAATTGGCACCCAACCTTCCCAAATTCTCCCATCCTCTCCCATCCTCCATCCCACTGTGCCCTGTGCCCTCCCCCTTTCCCATCACCCCGATCCCGGTCTCTGTATTTCTACGAGCGGTCCAATTCTCAGAAGCCGTGAACTCGCTCGGCTGTCCTTCTCACAGTATGGCAGTTGATAGTTTTCGCCTGGAATCTTTCCGGCCGTGGAATCCTTTCCAGGACAGAACACAGCCTCTGCAGAATTCTCTCGAGCTTTGTCAATATCCAAGTCCTGTCTCGATCTCCGCCACCTCACCTGTCTCCAATTCTAGCAGGTCGGCTTCAGAGAACCCCGATGGTCATTCTCATAAATCTGAGCGACACCCTCTCCCTCCACGACCGCCGGTGGAGGTTTGCTTTAACGACAGCCCGCCACAGGAGACAAACACTCAGCACCAACCCACTGAGGAGGCTCAGACATCATGCGTCAGCCTTGGAGCTGAGGTGTTCGGTCTCGATGACATTTTGCAACTAAATGATTTGCCAAACCCTGGAGACGAGGGCCATCCGAGCATATGCGATGATCCGGGCCCGGAGTCTCAGTACCGGCTTGGCTTTGAATCGGACGATCCAGGGCTCGCTTGCACTGCCAGTAAGCACTCTGATGCTGGCAACACTGGAAGCTCTGGTCTGGCCGGCAAATGCTGCGACGCAACAATTGACCCAGCAATCCTAGACGATTATCATGTCCTAGATGTTGAGCAGAATTCACCAAGAAGAAAAGAGACGTCGCACATAGTGACTCCTCCTCATTCGGATAAGTCTGTTCGTGGCCACAACATCAGAATGAGTTCGCAAATGCCGAAACCCCTATGTCAACGGTCCAGAGTCAGCAAGGTAGCTGTCGTCGTGGACAATAGTCGCATAAAGAAGACCTGTCGGACAACCCAAGCAAACCGTCCTGTTAAAACGTCGTTTTCTGTTCTGAGGGATCAATTCTCCTCTCTACCGATCCAAGAGCGGCTAGAGTTCTTGTCCTGGCTGTTTGAGGGTGCTTTATCTCACTGCGTTTCTACGCGTGCCAACGCAGATACCGCCTCTGTATCAAAAAGATGCATCTCGGGCCACGATGTGGACATGACATATGACTGTGAACACCCGGGCTTAAGTACCGAACTAGTTGATGCGCAACCTACCAGAAAAGGCTTACCGTGGTCCATGGAAGAAAATTGTTTATTGGTAAAACTCCGAGAAGAACAAAATCTTTCTTGGTCGGAGGTGACGAGAATGTTTGCACAGAAATTCCCCGGAAGGAGCAAAGGGTCTCTACAGGTGTACTGGAGCACGTCGCTCAAGAAACAGCGGCTCTCACACTTAACCATAACACAGCCTAGCGCTGATGCATGGAGGTTTGCGACGCTATAAAGCTCGGCGGCAAATGATTGGCTAATAGGCTGCCACCTTCGACTTGGTCGCATCCACTGTGGAGGGGACTAGCCCCTGTTCTGCGAGGTCGATATTATTTTGGAATGATATTCAACAGCAAAAGCTCTGAAGTGACGAGCTGAGCGATTCGCTAGCGCTGAAATCAACTTCTTCATATAATAAAAACCTGCGATTCAAATGAGAGAAGTGCTTACGAGGCAAGAATAGAGAGATCGATAGATGAGGAAAGGAATTTCTAGTTTGCAAAACCAGTCAAGATTGGATAAGTTGACACGTGATTTGGGGAATACGTTCTGCCGACTGGAAAGAGCTCTGAGGGGGAAAGGTTAGGATGGAATTTGATCGGTATCAAGCTGTTGTTGACATCAGGCGTCAGCTATCAGGCAAAGCAGTCAACGACGAGGAAGCAAAAGAGGTTCTTCGAATCGACCAAATGCTTCCAGAGCAAGTTGTAGTACTCTTGGAGAATTTGTTGACTTAGCCAATATCCGCATCCTTAGAAGCCGAATGGCGACGACGTAATGCAGCTGTGGCCGCTATCTCACAATATTGCTCTATTTTGCAGGGTGGCCCGTTGCGTGGAAGGCGGAAACGACCGTCGCCTAATGATGAGTCGAATCACGAACAAAGAGTCATGATAGCCGGCCCAGACAAAATGCGCTGCGCAACACACGAACTTCCGCGGCGAGAAACCGGAATACAGGCGGCAGAAACACATCTCAACACCTCAGAGAAGCCATACGATATTTCCAATGTTACGTCAACGCCGAGTTCCCGGACCATCGCCGATTTCAGGAATGGAGCAAGCACAAATCGACCTTGAGACATTTTCGAATAAAGCACTTGGACGGCCAAAAGTGTCACATGTGTGGGATTGATCTTCTACATGAGATGCACCTTCGAAGGCACGCCGAAGAGGTTCATCGTCTTCGCACACAGCCGAGGCGAATCAGATGAAGGGGGGAACATAAGGAAAGTGCTTGGGCGTGACTGTAAAATGTGTCGTCATGCTGTTCAGCAGATAGAACTCTTCTAAGCCATGTATATGTTTACTGTTTGAAATCGATGCCATGAACCTCTCGAGTTAAATGGCGGGCATAAGAATTAGAAAGAATGAGATTAGCGTGGGAGAAAAGGTAAACTGCTGGAATGTTGCAATTTAAAAAAGATATAGCTACAGTATAAAGATGTAAGGTTATCTTTTTAAATCTGTCTTTTGGTCTACTGTAACTCAATCGGATGATTCGGACAATGATTGTAGACGCAGGTTGTGCTCAGGCTGTGCTCAGGTTGTGCTCAGGCTGTGCTCAGGTTGTGCTCAGGCTGTGCTCAGGTTGTGCTCAGGCTGTGCTCAGGTTGTGCTCAGGTTGTGCTCAGGTTTCGCTCAGGTGTCCTCCGCCCAGGGAAATCTCAGCTATGTGACTCTACGTGAGCATAGATGAGACAGATCTTTGCTCAGACCGCAGTCCTGTGCAATATCCAGGTATTCCCCTGAAATGATTTTGGGACATACAATAACATTGCGTTATGTACTGGCTCAATCTAAAGCCACTTCATTATGGAGATATTACGCGCTGGTATAACAATCACGCTAAGAAAATTGTCTATTATCTGATGTTTAAATACGCTCTCTGGAATTGCTGATAACCTGAATTGGTGGAAACTCTCTAAATCCCCCGCGGCTATCCGCCGTCGCCTTGAATCGGCGCGACACCGTCGGATCCTCTGTTTTATACTAATCTCTCGCAAAAACACTACTAGAAAGGTTGATAGAACAAAAGGTCAAGGGACCCCACATATTCGGTTGATGCAATTTCCATACAACGCGGAAGCGGTGTGGGTGGGCGGAGACACTGCTATGTATTTTGGAGTGCGCAGCTCGGCCGGGTGCGCAGCTCGGCCGGGAATTACGTTAAGGGAAGCCCAGTCTCCATAATGTTGCTGGACGAATTTTTTTTCTGCCTTCCCCAGAGATTTATTATTGGAACACTTTATCCCATTTATTCACTCCTCCTTGACGTTATGTCTGAGCTTAAACCTCCCCAAATTGCAGGCAACTTACAGCCTCTGAATGGGGCTGGCCCAGGATGATGTTGGATTGGGTACGAGGGAGGTACTGGTTTGGTTCCTCGCAATCAGAGTCAGTGTAGGTTGTACACTGGACACCTGGCGCTACCTGAATTGACCGTACTTGTGGGGGCATAGTATTGAGATCGAGAGGAACACATTGTTCAGTAGAAGAAATTTGCTGAGATGGCCCTGAAAATTGGGGATCAGAATAGACAGTGGCCTATACGATTAGGTTAGATGCCCCCTGTTTCCTTTCTCACTGATGCGAAGTGACGTACAATAGTAGACTGAGCGGCCACGGCAGTTGTGAATACAACGCAGAGGAATCGAGAGAAATGCATGGTTGCGAAGCGTGAGGTCCTTTCTGCCTTACGTGCTGGTTGGTGATAGACTTGACGTATAGTTCAGCTTTGCTCGTATGTCCGTCTGTTTAGCTATTCTTGCTATAACTGGGATGGGATTGTTAGAAAGTTTCTGTATATAGCCAGATTAGACACACGAACCTTCCTAGAAGGCGACAGCTGAAGGATATAGTAGGGTTTGATTGATGTCAACTCAGAGAATGTAGTAGGAAAAATGTTGTGATTAAATACCTTTTGTACTACCCCAGCAATAGCTAGGGGCAATGCATACCTCACACCGCTCATCAAGCTGAACAAGCCTACAGTGTCTTAGATTGCGGATGAGATCCACAATCAACATTTCTAAATTTTACGGCATAGAAAGAAAGACACAATCCACCAATTTTGGTGCTATTGGTGCCCTGTGGAGTGTGTATCGCCGATCTGAGAACTTTCATGTCAGATCGACACTCCACATCTGTAGGTCGACCCACTCCGAGCTGAACCGAACCCCTGACTGGGTAAATCGACGCTCTTTGTACAAGAAAAAATTCCATTACACATCGTGGAAAAGTTATTTCAATCGCGGATGCAAGGTGATGTGTATGAGGATCAACATACTTTGATTAAAAATGGGATTTACTACTTTGTCTACGGAGTACTCCGTAGCGTCAGAGGATAACATCTAGTCACGGAGTATGGACTTGAGGTCACTTCAAAAACTGCCCATCTTGAAAGAAGATCCAGCTGAGCCCCAAGATCAGCAACGAATGTGTGCATGGTGATCTGCCATTAGTACTTTCGTGCTTGAAACTAGTGATTGCCTAGTAGGTCCCATAGTGGCAACGAATGCACGAATGCACGGATGAGACGCGCCGCACGCGATAGCATCCACGGAGAAAAGTGAATATCCTTCCCTCAGAATTAGCTCTCTAGAGCTTAAGCACAGCCTTCTGTGTGATGACTACTGCAGCGGGCGTACACCAATACACTATAGGATGCGCTGCATGTGGGAAGAATGAGGGAAAGTGGCAACTAAGGACTGGGGGACGCGGAAAGCGGGCGGACGATCTTGCCAGATTTCCAGATCTACCAAATAGTTCGAGGGGATTCGATGTAAGCGGGCAGCGGCTCATCGTGCACTAAAGACGGCGCATCCTCCGAACCAACTACACAACTCCCAAAGGCCTCGACGTGGTTCCATAGTAACTATATTACGGTATTATCAATATGACTCATCTATCAACGTAAGGCCATTACTATCACTGTTTTGCCGAACTTATAGAGCGGTAAGCTAAAGTGGGTTAGCGTCTCTCGGATTTATTATCCGGGAATGAAGTTGCAAGAGTTTGGAGGTATAACTGATTTCGAAAACTACTGTACTGGGATGAAGTAAGTTCTCTAACACCTATCAGTCAAGAAGAGCAACTCTAGGAGATTGGGCCTCCAGCTCTTTCCAACTCTACTGTATGTTCCTTGTAGAGTAACAAATAAAGCTGAATTTGTCGAGAAGGAAGACTGCATAATACGGGCGAGACCCACATATCTCCATGCGCGTCAGGATATTACAGGGATACTCGATTTGCTACGTGTTTTGTATGGTATCCCGGGTATACTCGGAACCCAGCGCCGTAACACGCTAGACAGCAAGGTAGGGGATATTCAACATTCCCCGCCCATACACGTAGATAGTTCAGTTACCTAATACATCACTATATTGAGTATCTCGTTCCATTGGATCCTAGCTTTCCTAGCCGATACCGTATCCTACTATATTGACATAAGATTCAAACGAAAGGGATGTGAAATGTTATGTATTATTACTGTACCGATCCAACAATAAGCACCCTCGTGGTATCCTCGTCCTACCACGATCGTCCCTCCCTCCTCAAGCAACTATTAACTACCCTGAATCGTTGCAAAATAACACGAAACCTGAATCCTTGGAAACGTAACAATATTATATATATAATAAGCAGTAGAAAAAAATACTAAATTGAAATTTTTATAATAGTGCGAAATAGATCGAATCTGCAACCCGGAATAGCCTCTAGGATTTAGCAAGTTACTAACTTTATCTAGCGCTTTTATTTATTACTAAGCCGTTAGCAATTGCTTAGCGGAAGGTATCGTGAAATAAAGAATAATTTATCTAGCTATCGGGTATGCTACTTATAATCCCGATTAAGACACTTAGGTCTGAATATTAAGAGTAATAGAATTTAATACATATCGTTTCAAGCCTCGTCTAAAAGATATATTTAATAAGGCTATTTATCGTCGATATAGAAAGTCTAAATTAGAATATATAGGGACCTCTACCTTGAAACTATTGCTAAAATATAGAATTTGCTTCTCGGAAAGCCTCCTAAACCTAGTCTATATAATCACGTAAAGCCTTAAAAATTCCTATAAGTACTAATCTAATCTAGTTATAAAGGCGTTAAACAATAGTCTTAACCTTTTACTATGTATTCTAAAAAAAAGTTAGATATTAATTACTAAACCCTATTATTTAGAGGTAGACTACGCTTAGACGGATTAGAGGGCTAACTAAGTAGGATATTACCTAGAGGGTCCGGTCTACGTCGAAATAAACTTATAACTTTTTAATACGTATTTATAAAAAAGCTAGATATAGATTACTAAAGCCCTCTTCTTAGAGGCGGAGTGTAATAGGACGCGTCAGGGAACTTATTATCAGAGGACTTATTATTAGAGGGCTTATCTGAAGGGTTATTAGAAGGGTTATTAAATAGGTTATTATTAGAGGGGTTACTGCTAGGTAAACCACTATTAGGTAGATCGCTATCGGGATATTCACTACTAGGAGGACTACCCCTAGACGGATTAGACTACGGATAACGATCGCTAGCGGGATTAGTAAGTTGAAGAAAGTTATTATTACGTCGTCTTATCTCGTAGTTATAGTCTTGCGAGGCGCCTACCGCCCTTCTAGAGGCCGATACGTTATTACTATAATTAGTTAGTTAGTTAATTAAATTATTTAATAAGCTGACAAATCAAAGTATAGCCGTTATAAGTATTAATAGGTAGGAACTCACTCGTTAATTGTTATTTTACAAGGCTAGTTCTTAAGACCGGTAGAATTTCCTTTTTCCTTCGTTTTTCTTTTTGAAATTAGGAATAGGTACTATAAGAATACTATAAAAAGACCGGGTAGATCTACACTTTAATATTATAGTCGGAAGGCTAGCCCCTCTCTAAAACTTAGTTAGTCTGCTATATATTCTTTAATTTATTAAGCAGATTCGCTAATTCTATAGAAGAAATATTACTACCCGACGCTAATTAAATTCTCTGCGACTACTACTAAGCAGAAAGATAAATTTAAGCCGGCCTAAAGGGATAGAGATAGTAAATCTTCTATAGAGGACTACAAAGAGTTTTTGAAATTAACGAGCCGGTAGTGTTATATTAATTTATACCTCGACACTTAACCTCCTTGACACTTTTCTAAGGCAATAAGTCGCTAATAGTTAATAGATAACGGACTACTTTAGGATTTGAATAATTCTGTAACAAGCAATAGCTAGGTAACATATAAAAATATATCTGATCTATTAATTAGTTAATATATCCTTATCAAAGGATAAGGGCTAGTTCTATTGCTAGGGATAAATATAGGAAATTAACATTATTATACGAATAATATCTATAGTAGATATTAATTGCCTACGATAGCACTATAGAATATAATACCGTATATTAGCAAAGTAACAGTTTAAATGCGAAGGAGAATAGGCGGAGAGGAGGGTAATACTATATCTTAAAATAAATAAGTAGCTATTTTATTATCTGTTTTCACACGACTTATAATTTGTAAAAACATTAAATATAGTCGCCCTACTTTCTAATTACTACGTTTTATAAAAATATATTTGAAAAAGGAGTGTCAAGAATATATCTCTCAAATTAGTATACTTCTAAAATTAGTTTAATATTTCTCCTAATTAAACGAATAAGAAAGGTCTGCATCCCTTCTCCTTTATAGGAACCTGCAGAAGTAGATTTCCACGAGCTTTATTATATCACTAAAAAACCAGATTAACAGAAAGTAGATATATCTAAAAAGCTCGCCTAGTCAATACGATACTTCAAATTTCGAGATTAAATATACCTAGGGAAGCTCTAGAGGTACTCAGGAAGTACTCAGGACGTGCTTAGGAAGTACTTAGGAAGTGCTTAGGAAGTGCTTAGGAAGTGCTTAGGAGCTATTTAGATTAGATTTGCTATTGAATATTACCTAAATCACCTTATAGTCGATCCTATTTCTTCTTGCGTAGCCCTACTATTAGAGTTCAGTCAACGTTGCGTTACGAATATAATGAATTAACTAAATACCTTAAAAGCTCTATTTCAATATATTTAAGAAAGCTGCTTTAGCGTGTAAGACTCCCTATACTATACCCGTTGCAATTAAAATCTAATCTTGAATCTCTATTTTAGAGAGGGCAGAACCTTTTAACTCTCCTTCTAATACGGGAGGGCCTATATCGCTACCCTACGCTAAAATATAAAGAATCTATTATATAATCCTATTAGTCTAGTTCAGGACCTAAAGCATTGCAACTATCTGTATTATCCCGAGGTATAACCGAGATAGATAAACGTTGCCGCTAATTAACGTCTTTTCTTCTTTTCAATTTCGTATAAAAATAGACCTATAGTATACCTCGCGACCTTCTAGGAAAATACCGAGAAATTGCTTCCTATATCTAATTTCTTTTCTCCTTTAGTTCAATTAAGAGACTATCTTCTTCGTAAGAGAAGCGGGCTCTAGAGCTTTTGCGGTTAGACTACGGGCTTTGTAAAGCTTTTGCCTTTAATAGTTTACCGCGTAGTATAGTTTTTTGATAAAATACTTAGTTTCTAGTTTCTTCACGTTATTCCTGAAATATAAATAAGTATATAACTCTAGACAGGAAAATTTACCGTATCAGGGAACCTTGAACTTGCATAGTTTCCGCGTTATCTTTACTCCGATAATCCCTTAGATAAAGACGAGAGTAACAAAAGTAAGCGGGAGAGGATTACATAAGACTCGGTTAAGCGAATCGCGTTTAAAAGAAAGTGTATTAAATATAAGCTTACCGATAAGAAACGAGTAATTCTATTATAAGGCAATCCTAGTAGTAGAAGCTACTATCGCTTCTAGGACTATGTTCCTAGGAAGCTGAATAGAAAACCTAAAATTAAGTCTGCTTTTCGTTTCAATATAAAGGACCTCTCCGGTCAATACTATAGTAAGTCCTCGTAGGTCCGTAAATATCTTTCTTGAATCTTACGAGATATAGAACTGAACAAGTACTATTATATATTATATATAGAGTAAATATTTCCCGACCTGAGTACCTTAATAAAGCGGGGGGGTTTACAGATAGGAGGCGGGGTTACTAGCTAACCTTAGCTAGCTGGCAAATATCACGCTTTCATAACGCTATTAAAGATCGGTTCCGCTATAGTATAAGGGCCGTACCTTTGAAGTGAAGATATATAATCGATTCTAAAGAGTATATTCTAAGTAGGAGCGGACAGCTAGCATAGTAGAGATCGACTATTAACTCGAGGCTTATAAGGGTAGTTCTCAGGATTATAAGAATTGTGAAGAAGTGCCGGATAAATTACTAAGAAAAGACTACTTTCCCGAAGAGCCTCGTACTAGCCTACTAAGTAAAGTTCTAGCCTCCGTGCTTAGTATAGGATACTTAGATAGAGTAGATAGTAATTCAAATGCTCGCCGTGGTAAGAAGATTCGGCGTAGATAGTGCGATAATTTTTCGCTTATATTCTTGTTCTGATTTTATTTCTATAACTCGTTATTAGATCTCTTAGCTACGAGTAGTTATTGTAGCCTTTCCTTAAAATCAATAATTATACGATCGGATATTTATATATTATTTACGCTTAACCTCGCTTTATAGACACAGTTAAAGAGATAAAGAGAGAAACAAGAAAGATCTTATATTTATAGGAGGGGTAGGCCTAGAGCTAGTAAAGGTAAGTAGGAGACTGTTCTATACACCCTTTACGCATAATTCAGTAGTCCCGATTTTAACATCAGCGTTTCCCCGCAAACGTTGTACTCGCAATATATATTATTTAGGAACAGCTTAATATGCTTGTTGACGAAGTATCGGCTAAGGGACCTAGGGTTCTTAAACATTTTCAGGCGGTCAATTACTGGCAGTTTAGCATTACCAAGACAGATAAAGCATATCGTTGGTCTTTCTTCTCGAGATTTGACGCAAACAGAAGCAATAGCTTAAGAAAACCTATCGTCACTCTCATCTGAAGGGGTAGACTTTTGTCTCTTAGGTAGAGAAGAAGCAGGTAGTATATCAACAGTATCGAGAGAGCGTTTTTGCGGCGTACTAGGCCGCGAGGGAGCACCCTCTTCCGTATCACAGACTACAATCACTGCATGGATTACGGCAATACGGCGTTCGTATTCTTTCGTGGCCGTTGTACCTGGCATAGTTAGGATACTGTCAATAAGCGTTATATGCTGCGGTGTTATGTAGCTAGTCCGCTGTAACGCACCTATGACTTCTTTATCGACAACCTTTCCAGAAAGTTGCCGCTCGCTATCGATCACTGGCTACTTATTCTTGTACCGCTCTAGGTTCTCACGAATTAAACGGTGCTTTTGCCGCCTCTTCTCGTTTCGTAGATCTTTCACTACTCGATCATATTGCTCGTCTGTATAATCGAATTTTTTACGTAATTTTTTCAGGCTTTTCTCCTAAGCCTTCCTCCGCTTGCGGGCGGTTTTAGAAAGAGTCGCACTCTGCGGATTATCACTAAACTCTCCTTGAAATACGGCCTCTGTATCTTTATAGGTGCGCATCTTAACGTCACGAATACGCTTTCTCGCCTATTTTGTGTCTTCTAGAGTACGTATACAGGGGATATCGTTGATATAGCTTAAATCCTTAAGCCGGTAGGGCCTACGAGGGTCGATAGACCGACTTATCGAGTAGGCGAACCGTATAAGTTGTTTCTTAGCAGGCAAGCCCCGGACGATAGCCTGCGTATCTACGTAGATACTAACACTGTAGTGCTGTATAAAAGTATTAATACTTGCGTACTACAGTATAACGTTCTATAGTTCATTCGATACATCCGCTAATTAAGAGGACGGAATTAGCCTAAAATTCTCTTAGTGCACTCTTAATACTAGGTTACTCACGACTATCGTTGAACGCTTTTACTACGCCGTATCGGAGGTAATATAGCTTCGCGACTTCCGCAAAGCTAGTAATCTCACTACCTCTTTTCATTCTATAACCTAGCTATCCCCCGGTAAGCGGCTTTTCTAGTGCGAATCGAATCCTATCCGCTTCCCGCAAAGCTTAGCAAAACATATACTAATCCATAATTTCGTCTTTTAGCTTTAATTCCTATTCACCGAGACTATATAGGACCCGAAGACGGTACAATTTCTTAGGGTAGTCTAGCACAGGGCTATCGTTACATAGACTTTTAAATGCGCTAATTCTAAACAGAATACCTAGTAGAAAGATATAAGGACTAAGGACTAACGTGGGATCAAAGATAATTTCCGGAATTAGAAACGCCTCTCTAGTTGAAAAATAATAAGTAATAGGAAGCAGAGACGTATATAATTAAACGGGGTAAGGTAAGCGTAAGGAATAGTTTAGCGAGTAGACGTTACTTACGATTCTTTAGTACCAAGAAATACTTTTATAAATTCCGGTCTTAGGTAGATAAATAGTCGAGGATGTCCTCCGTTTAGATCCTAAATCAACGTTAATTTGAGATCCCGGAAGCGGAGTTTCAGTAGCGCCCCCGGACGGTTACCGGTAATAGCGGCTAGCTAGCAGAAAAGGAGAAGTTGTATCCGATACTAGCTATAAGGAAAAGTTATCTCTGTCGTAGATAGGATCACTCGGGTAAACTTAGCTATATCCTCCACAAATATAGTCGCTTTCGGGCGTTTTTTAAGGGAAAGTTTCTTATCCGTCGCAACTATCGCGAGCACCTATAGAACGTTAGTCGCGTATAGTTGCAGATATTTATACTTATCGGGATCTTACGTCACGAATCTTAACTTGTATATCTTTGCTAAGGCTATGTCCAACCTCGGCCTTATAGATAAGATACTACTACTTCTAGAATACGTCGAGTAAGCTTTTAGTTTTTAGCCCCGGGGTCCGACGTCCGTCCTTTCCCCGTCGCTAGTTACACCGCTAGGAAAAGAGAGCCTTAAGGAAGCGGACAGTCTCCTCTATATTAGAGACCTAGGATAGGTATTCTACCGGATCGCGTTTTGCGCCTTTATAGAACCTAGAATAATTAGCGATCTAAGCCTAGTATACGGGGATACTCTAATAATATCCTACCTATCCTAGAAATCTCGCGCCTTATCTAACCTCTCTTGAGTTTTCGGGCTATAGCGTTTCTGTCGGAGCTAGGAGATATCAAGAGACTCGGCTTCCTAGAGGTAGTATTCTAGTGAAAGTTGCTCCTCTTTATCTTCTAGTGCTAGTTTATCTTCGGATTTATCGTTAGACTCGGACTCGGATTCACTGCTATCGTCGAAGTCGCTAGGTACGGTAGAAGAATTAGAGTCGGACGTATTGTTCGAGAAGATCTCGGGTAGGCCCGAGCTAGTATCGCTCTTAGCGTCGGACGGAATAGGATACGGAGAAGCAGGTATCGTAGGTGAACACAGTATACGATCAAAGAGAGGGCAGGAGGAGCGAAGACAAGTCGAAGCACGAGGGAATAGTAGAGACTGATATTATTTCACTTAAAGCAAGGCGCCCGTTAGAAACCTAGGCCTAGGGTAGGAGAAGTTGCTAGAGAGCGCGAGAAGACTATCGGTCGGGAGCTATAGCGGTCGATATTTATAGAAACTTAGGGAACTAGAACAGTTAATATAGGAGCTAAAAATAGCTCTCCTCCGGCAGGAGGGTGACTAAGGGAGAGTAAGGATAGGGCGCTACGGCGACTAGGGCACGAATAGATATCGGTCGATCCACTAGGGTCTAGACACTAGGCACGACCAACACGAAGCACGGGTGGCAGTAAAAGGGGTCGGCCGTGGGCCAAAGCCCACGTAACGCCAAGACCGCCTACAGTGAGCGAGCGGCCTAAAACAGCGTCAAAAGCGGCCGTTTCTGGCCTCCTATTCACCGTGTCATGCATATTATTAGTAGTATAAAGGAAGAATAGCTTAGTTAGATAAAGAAGATAGTTAATTTAACGCTATTCTTTATCGCTTAGTAATATCTATTCGTAGTTATAATCTATATAAAATAGACTAAATATTTAGCGAAGTTACTTAGCTCGACAAAGTATAAGAAAGATTAAATTCTAGTATATCCTAACATCTTAAATTAGAAAAAGCTTTAGTTTATTAGGTTAGAGATTATAGAATATCTCTCGACGCTAAGAGCTTATATTAATATAGATAGTAAGAAATCGGATCTTTGTCATATTCTATAAGGCAAAACGTGACCGATACTATACCCTTCAAACTTGTACTATACAGATGAAAATATATTCACCCGATAGAGAAAATCTTCCTGATTCTGAATCTTCTTTCTGCTTTTTATTTAATCTACTCTAGCAAGTGTAGTGGCTGTTCAAAGTTGGCGGAATGGACTTGGTAGTAGAATAGTTCTACCCGGCAGAACTACTATTATATTTTTTCGCCTAATCAGGTAATCCTCTTATCTTCCCCTCCCCCTCTACTAAAACTAAAGCAAATTACCCTAAACTTTCTAGAGAGTATCTCTCGAGTAATATCTATACCCCTCTTAATTTGTAACTTAAAAGAAGTCGAGATCGTCGAGATATTCAAGGCCTAAACTCGCTAGGGTTTAGCAAAGCCCCTTACCGCTTTTCCGTTATATTTTTTCGCCTAATTAGGTAATCGCATCTCCCTCTCCCCTAAACTAAGAGTAAATCGTCTATAATTTCTTATAGACTATCCTTATCGCTATATTAAATATCTATTAAATTTTTAGTAACAAATATTCGCTAATAGTGGAGATATTTATCGGTAAAGACTACTTACTGCTTTTCCGTTATATTTTTTAGCCTAATCGGGTAATACTACCTCCCTCTCCCCTAAACTAAGCGCAAATCGTCTAAAACCTCTTATACGCTATCTTCACGGCTATATTAAATATCTATTAAAATCTTAATTATAAATATCTATAAATAGTAGAGATATTCAAGGCCTAAATTCGCTAGGGTTTAGTAGCTTTCTACCGCCTTCCCGTACCGCCTTTCTCTATATTACCCTCCTATATTTACTACCTTTATAATCTTCTATAGAGAGGAAAGATATATGAAAAATAGGGAGGACCTAACTATCTCTAATATATATCTAGAGATAATAGGGATAATTCCTGGATATATATAATATCTTAGCTATACTTAGAATATAGCGCTATAAGATACTTATTAGAAAGGTAGGAGATATTTAATCCTCTATATAAGGAGAATATTATAGTACGACTTACAGGGTAGTAGCCTATTATTTAGGCAAGGAAAAATAAAGGGTTTATAGAATTAGAGTAGAATCGTAGTAGAATCGTAGCTTAATAATAGTATATTATTCTATAACTAAATCTCGAAGAGATTCATTAATCCTCTATATAATTAAATATTAATCCTCTATGTAAGGAGAATAGTGATCCTCTATATAAGGTGAATATTATATTACAATATATAGGGTAGTAGCCTATTATTTAGGTAAGGAAGAGTAAATCGTAGTAGAATTGTAGTAGAGTCGTAGTAGAATCGTAGGTTTATAATAGTATATTATTTAATAACTAAATCTTGAAGAGATTCAGTTTCAAAAGAAGAGGGACCCTAAACCTTAATATTATTATTCTACTACTTACTAAAAGGGATAATAGCAAAGAAGTCTAATTCGAATCTTATTCTTCTTTATAAATTAATATCGTTATATATACGATTTATTTCCGAAACGTGCTAGTTAATAGGGTAATATTAGATATAGTCTTGTTCTATAATAGAGAAATTAGATATTATTAGATTTAATCTTTACTTACTAATATTCTAGACCCCTCCCTCGTCTTCCTTCTCCCTATTCTTACCCTATCCCTTTTTCGTAATCGCCTTTGTAATTACCTTAATCCGGTCCGGCCTAAGTATAATACTACCTATCTCGATAGGGAGAGGGATCCCGGTCCTATATTCGAATTAGTTAGATCGACTAGAAGACTTAAAATAGTATCCTACCGGAGTATATATTGCTTAATAGTCCGTATCTTATCTTTTAAGTCGACCTAGGTCCGGAGCTATAAGACTAGCCTTGCCGACTACTTATCCTCTACCTTAATTGTAGCCTAGGTATTCCTATAACGGTTCTATAATCGTATTAGGACTCGGATCTTATCTCGCGACTATAGGACCCGCTGCTATCGTATTAGTATCGTCTTTTCCTTCGCTCCTAGTTATATAAAGCTATCGATCTTCTCTAATTCGCGATCGAGAGCCTACTACTACTCTAACCGGGCTATCTAATTAAAGGCTAGGGGCTACTTAGTCGATAGCTAGTCCTGAAGCGGGCGACTATATTAGGTAGTTAGGAGATCGATATTAAATCTAGGGATCGTCGACTAGGGACTTATCCGGGTACTCTCCGATCGGCCTTAGGATTCGGGTTCCGGTAATCGCTAGGTCGGAGATCTTAGGCGCGGTAGACTTAGTTCTCGCGAGTAGGAGAAAGCTAGGTAGGTAACCGATCTCTAGTCGAGATCCTTCGGATAATCTTCTAACTAGATTTCTCTTCTATTAGTTCTTATATACCCTATTAAGTCCTTTAAGTAAGGATCTAGCCTCTACTTACTACTCTTATCCTAGTTAAGCTCCTCTCTAGTTGAAAAAAGGAGGTTAAGGTTAATTATTATATCGATAGCCTTAGTCGATCCTAGTTAGATTGCTCTTGAGTTTAGTCGATTATCCTAGTTAGGGATCGAGTCTTAAGCCTTACAAGCTACTCTCTTATAGTCTAAGTCTTCGACTATTTCGATAGTGGTAGGCCTACTTAATCTAGATCTTGATCTAGATCTTGATCTAGATCTTGATCCTCTGATTAGGCGGATACTTCCCTTTACTAGGAGTATCTAACGTTAGTCGGGTTCCGGATCTATATCTAAGTTAGTTATATTATCTTAAGGTATTCTCGCCTAGATTCTCTAAGGCTATATTTACCTCGATATATATTATCCGGCTAAAACGACTCGATTACTAGCTTAGGATTATTAATTCCCTCTATCTAGTTATAGATCGAGTCTCGATCCCTATATCTCTGACTAGTAGCGATAACCTCTCTACCGAGGGCTTCTAGAAAGACTTATTAGGTAGTATCCTATAATCCCGCTAGCTCTTTCGCTTACGCTTATTCTACCCTATACTTACTAAGTCCTTATCCTTATCCTATAGTAGGATTATACTCCTACTACTACTTTTATCGATCGATTCTAGCGGACTACTAGCGATCCCGGATAATCCTTAGGAGTAATTAGGTCGGGTATTACTTCGTAGTATTATAGTCGATTACTTCTTAGTTAGGGGGATAGTAGGAAGATAGGAAATATACTACCTTAGATCCCTAAGACCTAACCCTAGTCGGGTTTCTCCTATAGGCGATACGTCGACCCCCTACTATACCTCTGATACGCTAATTAGCCCTCTACTATTATTTAATCTATCTAAATATACTCCGATTATACTCTCGCGACCTTAGAGGCTATAGATCCTCCTCGAAGAGCTCCTCGGATCTTCGGTTACTCCTCTCTATCTAAGTCCTCCCTCTAATCCTAATCTCTCGTAAGTCTTTCTCCTTCTACGCCCGATCTTAATCCTCTCTAATAGCTCGTCCTAGCTATACTACCGAGTATTAGTCGTAACGGCTAGTAACCCGGCTCCGGGTCGCCTAGTTTCGTTAACGATAATAAGTAGTCGAGGCTACTAACGAGGCCCTTAATCTCTTTTAGAATCTCTTCCTAGACCACGATCCCCGTTAGGTCGTAACCCGTATCCTTAAGGACGACTCTTAACTTAGCTACTTTAATCTACTTCACGAGACCCTCGTAGCTAATCTACCGATCTACCTCGCGGAACTACCTATCTCCTATAAGGCCCTACTATCTACTATCGAGCCTCCGAGCCTAATTGTCCTATACTAAGATATATCTTCTAACGAGGATTAGGATTCGATCCTACTCTATCTCCCGGAGACCCTACCTAATCCGCCTTGCTGTTATTAAACCCGTTAAGCCTCCTAAGATTCTCTCCCTCCTAAGGCTCCGCGACCTACGCCCTATTCTTACTTCCCTACTACCTCTCTCCCTCCGTCTAGTCTTACCCTAGACCTCTTAGCTACCTCCCTCGTTAATTAGCTTCTCTAGTACTAAGGCTACGCGGAATATCTATTCCCGCCCGCGCTAAGCGCGTTAAACCCGATAGTTAGCCTCTCTATCCTTACGCGCTAGGCGAGCCCCGACCTTCTTGCGCTACCCGCGAATCGCTAGATTACGTAGTACCTAACACTATAGGAGACCCTCCTCCCCCTCCCTAAGCGCCGGCGGCTCTTTACCGGCCTTAATCCGGATAGGGAGGCCGCGCTCCTACTCCCTACGCTATAACTCGACCTTGAGACTAATATAGTCCCGCCGAACGATTGTCTCTAGGCTACCCTCGATATCGATAGCGCTAGGGGCTTTGCCTCGAGCCTCGCGGTCGCCTGCTAAGGGATTAACTAGAAGGCCCGCTAGGCCCTAGTTAGTACCCTCTAGAGCTCCCTCTATCTCGCCCTAATCCCTATCGACTACTTTACGCCTAACTAGCAGCGGCGTTTAGGATAGTAGCCGCTCTATCGGATCCCCTATCTCCTCTTCGGGCGACTTACTAGATTCCTAGCCGTGGAAGTCTATCTCCTCTTCCCCCGCTAGTTCGATCCGGCCCTCGATTACTTCGTAATCTAGACCGATATCTAGTAGCTCTAGACTAACGAGGTCTTCCTACCTACGCTTTATATAGCCTATCCCTCGTCGATTACCTAGCACCTCCCGTCGAGTACCGAGTATATC